GTTGCCTACAGATGGGCTTTGAGTCCCCTGTCTGCACTCCCGCTCATTCACAATGGTATGACTTTTGTTCTTTGATGCCTGATACCTGATCCCTTCGACACCTCGTGATCACACAAGCTGGTGTGCTTCTTCCATGAGGGCTTTCAAGCTACAGTTCTTATCATTGCCTTTGAAGTCATTGGATTTTAGTATTCCCAGTGAATAGTGAAGAACCATATTGTTATGTATACAATGATCTTAGTACATTGTTTTGTTTTCCTAGTATTTGAGTAAAATATTAAGATAAAACAGAAGTTCATACCTCTGCTTCCTTTCCGTCCTGACCTCAGGTACTTGCTAAGGAAGCTCCTCCAACTTCAGGCCCTCACTGAAGGGGAAACACAGGCTGCAGCCCCTTCACACAGCTCCAGTTTTCCCCTGACATATGGAGTGTCCAGCTCTGTGGGATCGGTACAGGGAGCTGGGCCCATTTCTGGACCCAGCACTGTGGCTGAGGAACCCTTTGGGAAGAAATCCAAGAAGGAAAAAAAAGAAAAAGGCAAAGAGAACAACAAGCTGGAAGGTACCATGGGGAAAGGATTTTAATTGCTCCAATGGCTCAAATACTAATCAGTACTATGGACAAAGAATGGGTACTAAACAGTACACACGTGCAGCCAAGGAGGCATAAACTTTCATCTGTTCCAGAATCACCCCTAAGAGTGCCCGAGAAGCAAGGGTCCCAGAGCTACTTTGAGTGGAGAAATTGCATTAAAATTAGTTCAATTCAGAGGGAACTGGCTGAACCCCCACCCCCAATCCCTGTGTCTCTATCTCTCTGTATTATGTCGAGACAGGGAAATGGCTTAGGTGGCCTCTTAATCACACTGATCAATTGGAAAATTCCTCATCTCACAAAGGAAATGAGACATCAAAAAAGATAGGGTTTTTAGCTGCTAAGTACTAATGTTAACTTTGGGTACAGCCAGGTAGGTGGGTTAGAAAGATACTTCAGACTTTGGAGAAACATCCCATGTACCTATTCAGTGAGCATGTAGTATCATACCAGGATTGGCTTATTGTACTTAGCTTGCACAAGTAATTTACTCCCTTACACTCAGCCCTGGGAGGGACATAGGGTGGGTGACCCCAGATTTGCATTTCAGTTCTGAAGAAAACAACCAAGAAAAAGAAACTGGAGGGAGGTGCTCGCAAGCTGGTTCAGCCCATTGCCCTGGATCCCTCAGGACGGCCTGTGTTCCCCATCGGACTGGGGGGTCTCACAGTATATAGCCTGGGGGAGGTGAGTGAGACCAGCGATAAATAGGGAGGATAATCAGAAATACGGGAATGGGGTTGAGCCTTTGTGTGCTGTTCCCAAAAGTAGTGGCCCCTTGCTGATCCACATCAAACCTGGCAAATCTCGAGTCCCTAGGAAAACAGATTGGTTTTGTGTGCTGTAGAACCTATTCGCTCTCTCTTCCCTCCCCCTTCCTCTCATTTCCCTCCCTCCCTCCAATGTGTGTGTATGTGTGTGATTTTAGTTACTCTTTGTAGCCCCATAGTCTAGAAGCTACCACAGTAAGCTGGACTTCCAAATTCTTTAATGACCTCAATCCCAGGTTGGGGAATCTTTTTCTAGATCATCACCGACCGTCCTGGCTTCCATGATGAACATGCCATCTACCCTGTGGGCTATTGCAGTACTCGAGTGTATGCCAGCATGAAGTGCCCAAACCAGAAGTGTCTGTATACCTGTCAGATCAAGGATGGCGGTGTGCAGCCACAGGTACCGATTCAGATAACTGTGTTTTCCCCTTTGAGAATCTTTTGTCCCAGACACTCTGTATGCACTACTTATTCTGGCACCTTATAAAGTAAAAAAAAACAAAATTACTGCCATTTAGTTGATGCAGATTCATAGCAACCTTATAGAACAGAGTAGAACTGCCCCTTTTTTCCAAGACTTTAGATCTTGACAGGATCAGACAGCTTCATCTTTATCCTATAGCACTATTAAGGAGTTCAAACTATTGACTTTGCATCTTATTGCTCAGCAACTCAATGAATAATCCATTACAAGGTGGTAGTGTGTAATTGATTTGGATAACCCATGGTGCAGAAAATCAGTCCTAAGTTCCACCTCCACTACTAAGTGAGTGGGCTGGGATGTGAACCTGTATCTGATTCTCAGATCAGTGCCCTTTCACTTGAACTATGCTGTGTCTAACATCAGCATAATTATGAGTGTTTGGAATCTTATCAGAGCTGCTTAATTGTGAAGTGCAAGCTGCAGTAAATGACATGGGGCCATATCTGGTCTCTGACTTCCCTATTTCCACTAGGAGGGGTCAGACATGCCTCCATGCTTCATCCTTTACCGATTCTGACACCAACATTCCTTTCATAGCCTTGGCATAGTGGTTACATACTGACGTGCTAACCCCAAAGTCAGCAGTTCGAAACGAAGGAGTTAGTCTTAGAAATTCACAGGGGCAGTTCTACCCTGTCATAGGGTCGCTATGAGTCAGCATCAACTTGATTGCAATGAGAGTTATTAGGGAAGTTACTAGGTTACCACAAGTCAGGATCAACAAATAGTAAGGACAGTCATTGGTCCACAACACCTCTCCTCAGCCAGCAGCCTGTTCTTTCTCTGGTCCTCAGCCTCCCAACCATGTGGTCCCTTTGCCTTTGCCTCCCTGAGTCAGAAAGCCAAGCCTGTCTATTGCTTTGTGTCATATCTTGGGCCCATAGTCTTGGGCAAGATGAGGAGAAGGTACCCCATAGTGTCGACTCTGAACCTCTATACCACAGTGTGTAGCACATCTGGTCTCTGTGGCCTCTGCTACTTCAGACATAGATCTGGAATGTGGTCTTCCAGAGGATCCTGGGATTTCTGTGTCCCACGTGACTTTTACATACTGAGGAATGACTTGATGGAGGTGTGATTTGTCCTTTAGCCAACCGTACCCTCAAGAAAGAGAATAGTGTCTTAAGTCATACCCTCTAGGAAAGTAGTCTTAACATCGCCCCCAAAGAAACAAAGGGTGTGGCTTGATTCATACGCTCTGCTAAGGTCAGGACTTGTTGGTTCCAGCCCATAGAAACCCTATGCACATCAGAATAAAGCACTCCCAGGCCTGCACTGTCCTCACAATTGTTCCTTATGCTTGAGCCATTATTGCAGCCCCTGTGTCAGTCCATTTCATGGAGGGCCTTCCTCTGCACCCTGCCCTAATCCTGTCACAGAATTGTATCCAAAATGGGCTTGCAGCCACTGGCATAGGGTCCAGAATTATAACACATCATATAAGGAATTATGGCTTGAAGAGCCACATTATTTGACTCACAGGCCCATATTAGGGGAAGAATTGATTGTCTGCAATTTCAGGATAGATAAAAAAAAAAAGGACGTTACAAGGAAACTCCGTGTTAATTCCTGGATACACCTCGTTATTAAGACCGGGGAGTGATTGTAGTATTAGTGAAAGCGTTTGTTATCCTTCCCAGGCTAATTGAAGGCTGTTCTTTTTCTCCAGCTATCATCTCTGATCACTGGGGGGAAAATAGGCGATTTTCAGTGTAGATCAAATGATCCATAGAAAAGTAGGTAAAAAGAGATAGAAACAAGGTAATTAGGATACTTGGAGCAGAAGCTAGGAGAACACTGATCCTGCCTGACTCATTGGGATATATTTGAAAAGGAAAAATCTATGGGCATTTTAATTTTGTTGTTTTTCCCCCCTTAGCTTATTAACCCATATAGGCATTGTTTTTATAGTACATTGTGAGCCAGAGATTTAGCTTTAATATTTTCTCCCACTGGCATCAAGTGATACCATATGTATAGGAGGGGTTACCCCCCCAAAACTGGAAAAAAAGCTCCTCTGGGTGGAACTTTCATAGTACACATTTTTCCTGTTAGGCGAGCATTGGGCAACTCGCTCTGAGTTAATGCACCCAGTGGCATCGCCTGGGAAGGTTCTCTCTGGTCACAGTGAATTTTTTCATAGAAGTTTCACTAGAGTTGTTTTTTGTGATGGTCAATTTAAGAGAAGAGCGTGTGGCTATGAAATTTTGGTTCCTCCTCTGGCATATCTACCCTGTGGGATATTATGCAAAGATTGTGGTAGAATCATATGTACCAACATGGAAAGATCTTCAAAACTAAAGCATGACATTTGGACCTTCCTAATTGCTCTTTAGAGCTATGGTGGTGCCATGTGATTAAATACTTGGCCAAAAACCAAGAAAGATGTGGCAGAGATGTGTGAACTTATTGAAATGAGAAAGATATCAATAGGTCAGGATTTGTCTCACAAAATAACTTCTTATTAATCTCTAAAATTTGATACAGTAGAAGCGAATCTCAAAAGGAAACTAGTGGAAAAAACATTGGAAACTTTAATTGAGGGAGTTAGTCGAGGAATAAATTACAGAGCTTCTTACAGAAATGCTTTCTTGGCAAAAATCCCTCCATTTAAGTGTGTTGTTAATGTAACTGTCCTTTTTGATAAACACGGTCAAGATATTTTCCATTTAAAAATTTTTTTAAATGCAAATGGGTTTGTACTCAAAATTTTCTGTACCAGATAGTATAAAGTGAGCCAGAGATTACATATAACATGATCAACTTTAAAATACCACTTGTAAACATAAAATAATAAAATACCAGTTGTATTTTATACATCATACATGTACATAATCCGTGAAAGATGCATGAAAAATTAAGTGTGGACTTCTGGAAAGCAGTAAACTGAGGAATTTGGATTTGAAACAGTTAAAGGTCTTTTAATGTTTACTTGTATTTGTTTGAATTTTTAACAGTACTATAAGAAATTGTTTTTACGTATCACTGAAATTTGACACAGTATAAGGGAATCAAATTAAATAATAACCACAAAAGAAAACAGTAGTGGTTATTGGATGAGTTAGGGGAATGGGGTTGCAAGGGGAATTGGGGAGTGTGTTAGACAGGGTTCTCTACAGGGAGCAAACGATGAATGTGGTAGTTGGAGGGGAGCATTAGAACTGATTGTGATGATGTATATACAGCTCTTTTCAGAAGTGATTTAACTGGAAGTGTATGATATTTGAATATTAAGAAAACTTTAAAAAAAAACTTAAACCCATGGTTGGCTGCCCTGGGTGAAGGAGGAACAATGTTTGCTTAGGGGATGTTGAGTTTATGTTATTGGTGGTAGAATAATTTGGAAAAGAATCTCAATAATGGTTGTACAATACAAAGAGTATTAGCAATGGCCCTGAATTATACATATAGAAGTTGTTGAATTGGAGAATGTTTGGTGTACATATTTTTGCCACAATTAAAAAAAAGAAAAACCATTGGAGACTGTTTGCTGAGGAATTTGGTCAAAAAATAAATTACAGAGCTTCTTACAGAAATGGTTTCTTGACAAGATATGACAAAATACCCATTTATAAACTATCAAGGGCTCATGAGGGAAGGGGGAGTGGGGAGGGAGGGGAAAAATGAGGACCTAATGTCGGGGGTTTGAGTGGAGAGAAAATGTTTTGAGAAACGATGTACAAATGCGCTTTACACAATTGATGTGTGTATGGATTGGGATGACAGTTGTATGAGCCCCTAATAAAATGTTTTTAAAATGAATAAATAAATAAATAAAAAGAAATTTAAATAATAAACAATATTTTATCCAAAAAAAAAAAAAAAGAAATGGTTTCTTGGCAGAAATCCCCCCATTTCAAGTGTAAGTGTATAGTGCACATCAGTTTCAAGTTCCAGAGCAGAGACCTTGTTGTGTGGCTTTCTTTCTGTCATTTCTTCCTTAAGAATTTACCTGACTTTCTCTTTCCAGTTTGAAATTGTTCCTGAAGATGATCCCCAGAATGCCATTGTCAGCTCTTCTGCAGATGCTTGTCACGTAGAACTGCTCCAGACCATAAGTGCTTACATGTAAGTTGAAGACTGGCCAGAAGAATTCATTTGGTCCTGTGTGCTCTTACCTTTTAATGATCAGAGATCGCTTATAGAAACCTGTCCTATATCTTGCAGACATTGTGTGAAAATTAGATTCCCCAGGGTATCCAAGTCAGGAGCAGGTTTCCTTTGTGTTCATGCTCACGTTCCATCCCTGAACCATTCTCAATTCACCCGAACTCCCGTAAACTAAAATTCTTCCTTTCCTATTCAGAGGGAAGGTAATGCCCAACCTCCTTCCATCTGGACCTGACTTTTTTGGGTTTTCTCATCCAACCATCCACAACCTCATCCAGAGTTGTCCAGGAGCTCGAAAATGTGTCAAGTAAGTGTGATCAAATACAGTCCTTTCAGAAAAGTTCAGTGGTCTGCTGGCTGGGAACCTGAGTTAGGAGTGACTGCTTTTCTCATTCGTACATTTGTTGACCAGCTTGTGCATGTTGAACATCTTCCTGCCTGCTGCGCACCCTCCAGACAGATAAATAGGAGCTCATACCCCACTGTTTTATAAATTTCATTTTCTTTTTACACCTTGATAGCAAGAGGGTTGGGAAATCCTATGGAATAATGTGTCACTAAAGAAGCCTGCCTATTTTATTTTAGGGTCTTTTTTTAAAAATATGTTTTAAGACATGGGCAAGACCTAAAGAAAAAGGAAAAACCACTAATCCCTTTTGAAGTAAGAATGAGTTATTATAGTTATTAGACACATCTTGAAGATTCCCTGTGATTCTGCAGTTACCAGTGGGTGAAATTTGATGTGTGCAAACCTGGAGATGGGCATCTACCTCAAGAATTGCTAGAGAATGATGCTGCTATGAACTTTGAAGCCTTTCAGAGACAGACTTTTGATGTGGATCAGAATGACCCCATTCTGCCAGGTATCTTTTAACTTGACTCTCATTAGGTTACTCTCTCTTCGCTTCTGAGAAGTACCCAAACTATCTGGGCAATGTGGGATGGCAGCTTTGATTGAGTTGATCGTGGAGAGTCCCGAGTCAGCGGAGGATCTTCTGACCTGCATCACTCACAGAAGCCACAGGAAGTACCTTTCATCAGCAGGGGAGGGTGTCTCATTCTGTAGCCTAAGACCAAAGTGGAGTTCCATAGAAAACTGTGCTTGTCAAGTGAAGTAAACACTATCAGGTCTTGTTGCAGGTCCTGCCTGTATTCCATAAATTCCTTCCCACAGGTGGGTGAAATGATCAAGGGAATGGGCATTGGAGAATCACATGGGGAGAATTCTGATGGGAAAAAAAGGGAATGTAATTCGCATTCTCACTCTTTGCCTATAACCCAGAGAAATCACTTAACCAGGTTTCTTCATTGCAAACATCTAAACCAGTGGTTCTCAACCTTCCTAATGCCACAGCCCTTTAATACAGTTACACATTTTGTGGTGACCCCCCCCTAAACTATTTTCGCTGCTACTTCATAACTGTAATTTCGCCACTGTTAGGAATCCAGTGACCCCTGTGAAAGGGTCATTCAACACCCAAAGGTGTCACAACCCACATGTTGGGAATCGCTGATCTAAACCAAAAAAGACCCAAATTTAGCTGGCAGATATAAAGTATTAAAGAATTGAAGCAACGTGTGTATTGGCTCAAAACAGTCTCCTGAGAGATTCCCAAGCAGCAGTAGGACTTATTTGTTTTTCCCCTCCTTGATCCTTGGACCTCCCAGAGCTTCCTTTCCAACCCATGTTCCTGACACACGAGCCCTTGGTGGATACACACCTGCAGCACTTGACGTCTCCAGCCCAGTGTAGCCCAACGGAGTCGTCAGAGTGAACAAGAATGAAGCAGCTATATCATTTTTATCCTGATGAACTTTTTTAACTTAAACTAAAACTACAAATATATGAAAGAAGATGGCTTGAGACATAAGAAGACATGTAAATTAGCATGTCACGGAGGTTCCTGGGAGGGGGGGAGGTGGCAGGGGGACTAGCTGCTTTATTTTTAGTAATAAATTTCTCTTGACAGTTCTGTATATTTTCATTTGTTGTAATCAAGATATAATTTAGTTTGTTTAACAATGCCTGAGGTAGACGTAGCTCCTTTATAAACCAAAATGAGAAATGTCTTGTGACTCAGTAAGATAGTAAGATTCTGACAAACTTCTGTGCGTGTTTGATTCTAATCCTAGTCCAATGAATATTGGTCTCAGCCCTAAGACCCTGCTGCTTTATTGCATGTCATTATCATCTAAATCACATCATCTGCTTATGCCCACACAGGAAAGGGCAGTCTAAAGTACTCTGCTCAGCTTTTCCTTCACATGTTGCACATCTTTTGAAGGAATTAAAAAGTCACTTTTGAGAGTTGTGTTATTTAACCTTTTCTACTGCTCATTTGTGGTTTCTTATTGGAGAATGTGCCTTTGAGCACATTACAGTGAAACTATGTAATAGCACAAATTCATATATAATATGATTGAGGATTGGCTCCACCCTCCACAACCTTGTTAGTTGTAATAACTGCAATAACATACCGTATATACTCGCCATATAAGCCAACCCAAATATAAGCCAAGGCACCTAATTTTACCACACAAAAACTGGGAAAACTTATGGACTCAAGTATAAGCCTAGGGTGGGAAATGCAACAGCTACTGGTAAATTTCAAATTAAAAATACATACCAATAAAATTACATTAATCGAAGCATCAATGTTAAATGTTATTGAATATTTATTTCAAAGAAAAACAGTAAACTAGCTCTGTAAGTGGAAAAGAAGGTCAACAAAAACAATATGGTATCAAAAATAACTTTAAAAGTACAAAAACCTTAGCTCAATCAGCAACCAAGCTAAAACAAAAGTTAGAACCCTTCAAAACTGGATTTCTCATCTTCTGTATGTCCAGAGCTTCAGCTTTAGCTGGTGTGAGGTCATCAGCATAGACATTGTCAGCATCACTGCGTTCTCATTCATCACCATTATTGCTGTGGTTCTCATACAAAGCGCTGTCTTCACTGCCATCCATAGCATTACTGATTCCACGTTTCTTGAAGGCACATTGCACCATGTCCTCTGGAATCTCTTCCCATGCATCACAAACCCACTTTGCTATCAATTCTATGTCGGGCTTCATCAGATTTCCAACTTTTGTCAGTCAGGCTTGACCAAATGACATCCATTCATGCCACATCTTTCACACACTGCCTTTGAAGGTTTATTAAAGCACACATCTAGGGGCTGCAATACAGATATAAACCCACCTGGAATAACGGCCAAAGTAACTTGAGAAGACTGCCAATTTTTTTATGTCATCAGATGTGGGCTCTGAACATATTCCAAATTAGCAATGATGCTTTTTTTCTTTAAGGCTGCTCCTGGTCATCTGCTCCAAATTTCTTCCAGCCATTTTTTTGGTACATCTTCATCCATCTGGCCTTTAGTTCCATGAGCCAAACATGATAGAATGACTGTGAAATGGTTTTTTTCATTTCCTGTAGTTCTGAATAAAATATGGTAGTTTTGTCTCCCAAACTTGCCACGGTTCTGTTGCTTGGAAGATCACAAGTCATAGATGTTTCATCCATATTCCCAATATCTCCTGGGTCAGTTATGGATCCTTCTTTGTTTTATGATAAATGAATGGAACGACATCACTTTTTCATCATAGCAACTTCTGTGGAATCATTGTTCTTTGCCGCAAAGGTAGGACAAACCTATTCATAAAGCAGGTACACCATCCTGCTGATGCAACAAAATTTTCAATGCCTGGTGCTTTTAATTTGTCGTCTTTAGCCATTTGAAGGGCATATAAGCGAATTCCCATGCTTGTTACTCAGTAACCTTTTTGATGACACTCCATACCCATTTATGCAATTCAGTCTCCAGAGCCCCTTATGAAGTTGGTAAACCAACTTTTTTTGCCGTTGGAATCTTTTCCAAGTCAGCTTGCATTTCCCACTAATCCCTCACTTTTTTGTTGTCAACACAAAATTCCCTACCTGCAATATTGTTATTGCTTTCTTCTGCTCTTGACACAACCTTAAGTTCGAAACCAACTTTGTATGATCTGCATTTTTGTTTTGGTCCAGGATTATAAATATTGGGATCCATTTCTAATAAGATAAAAAAAAGACTTTGAAAAAGAATGCTGTACCATAGCGATTGAATTCTCAAAATATATAGTAAGCTATACTCCAAAAGTAAGCACTACTGATAGTTCTTAAAAGAGATCAACTTACATTAAAAATGGTGGTGTCTGGGCAACTACCAGTACACATATAAACAAGTAAAATCAATTGGCAATAGAACGCAGAAAGATAGTCTTCACCACGGAAAACATATCCCCCAAAAAAATCGCACTCAAAAGACACCATGAGACGCAGAACATGCTGGATCCCCAAGGGAGCTGACAGTAATTCAGGGTTTAGAGAGTTTGGTGTGATGATAGTCCAGAATGTGATGACATGACTGTTTGCATAGAGCAGCCTGTGTTAGGGCGCATAACATACACGTGTTGTGTACACACTGTGTTACAGCATGCGCTGTGATCCTGCATATGCAGTGTTACCGCATATATATGGGAAGTGCCGGCGCAACACATGCAGTTACATAGTGCTTATCTGGCATTCATCTGACAAGGATGCCGCGTGCCCCAGGTACCAGCACACAGAAGCAGGCAGGTTCTTGCCCAGTACGGCAAGGACAACACAGGCTGCCAGCGTGCAGGAGCAAAGAGCAGTGATAGCAGCAGTCATTGGACCACCCACAGAGGCTGCAGGCACCTGCAGATGAGCTGTAGAAACGAGCACACCCATACTGCACCGGAGAACAGGTAGGTGAGACATATACCGCCACCGTCCAATCACTAGAGTATAAGATGAGGGGGGCTTTTTCAGCATTAAAAAGGTGTTGAAAAAAACTCGGCTTATACACGAGTATATACGGTAACCATTAGGAGTCCTAGTGGCACAATGGTTAAGCACTCAGCTGCTTCCCTGAAGATCAGTGGTCCAAACTAGATACTCCATAGGAGAAAAGACCTAGTGGTTTGCTTCTGAAAAATTATACGTAACTGTTTGAGACAGTTTTACTCTATTGCATGGTGTTGAAATCAACTCAATGACACAAGTATAATATTGCATTCTATGTAACTGAATTTTCGGAATCCTTCTTGGCTAATTCATGGCATTGAGGTGGAGTTTTACCATATCACTTAACCCCAATCAGTACAACTCTCCATAGTACTTGTGGGATGCTTTAACTATCAACCAGGGCTAGCTGGAATGGTAATGAA